AGAGAATAGATTACAGGCGATGCTGTGAATACAAGTAGTGCAGGCTCAGGAAAAGGCAGAATCAGTGTGGCATGAGCCTGAGCTCCAGAAACAGCCTGAGAAATGGAATGAACCATGGAAAGAGCCATCACAAGAGAGACAGCTGGCCCAACGGCATGCTGACCTCCATCAAGTGGCAAGCTCTCCCTTATTTCAAGCATTTACCAGTTTTTCATTCCCTACCAGTCTTAGTGAAAAGAAGACACAACTAAAAACAGAGGAGCATGCTCACAGAGAGCGCTCGACTCCCTGCCCCTTGTAATAAATTCCAGGAGACACTGCTGGAAACCTCTTCTGTTTGGGCAGCAGGAGGAAGTTCAAGCCCTTGCGCCAGCCTCCTAAACCAAACACAAACAGCCAGCTTGGCCAGAGACACAGCTGCCACTTCAGCGGGGGACAAGTTCAGCTATGCAGCCTTTGTTGAAATAAACCCAAAAATAACAGTTAGTGCCACCTAGGGACCAGTGCTAAGGCAGGGAAGCAGAAGAGCCATACCCCAAACAAAGGATGTCACTGGCAGGTTTACTCCTTGCATGGATGAGAAGTCAAACTGCAGCGAGAAGCAGCTCTGGTCTATTTAAATAACACCAGGTAGGTGTTTTTTGAACTGCAGCTTCTCCCCAGAAAGGCACCGGTTAGGTGAAGCTTTCACAAGGGGCTGCTCAAGCACAGATTTGACTCCATACTGTTACGCTCTCAATTTAGGCAAAGAGCAACCCTTGGCTTCAAACTACTCAAGAGCTCTTTGGTTCAGGGAAGGAAAGTTTCAAGATCAGTGTTTATTTAGGACCGATAGGTACCCAGCAGTAAGTTAGAGCCAGGTACTTGGTTGAGAGCCCTCTAGTCTATACTAACACATCACTTGTAATCCAAAGGCTGGGCAGCAAATTCACCCAAGCTCTGACCCCAGCACTAGACAACTGACAGCCGTTCATTATCGCAGGCTAGACCTGCACATCAGTGAGGGACACCTGGCAAGACCTAACATTTATCTAATTGAGACTTTATCTATGGAGAGCAAATACAACTTCTAAACAGAGCATGGGCTACCTAATTTCTTCCAGAAGTAAGAGTTGAAGCTCTGCACCACCTCATTCAGTGCTGTTTCTCCTACCTGCTATCTCCTTGGACCTTGCAGGGTTTGTCTTAAGCTACTAACTGGATCAGACTCATCACCCCGAGTCCTTTCTACAGATGATCCCACAACCTAATACATCACAGCCAAAGGCTGCTGAGAGGGGCATTTCTGCAGGTGTGCAATGATTAATTGGTGCACATTTCCATATCACAAATTTTAAAAAAAGACTTCTGAGCTTGGTTGAAATGCAGTATATTAACCTTTGAAACTGGCAGTCATGGATACCAGCTTCAAAAACAGTACTATCAATAGGACAAAATCCCAGAGGATAGCATCACATTGCTGCCAGTTTTTCTGGAGCTTTACAAAATAAGGCATTTTGAGGCTTCAATTAAGGTCGTATCTTTCCGTGCTCGTTTTATAAAGAAAACCCGAAGTGGTTCAGATTTATAGGCAGAATCCAAGTACTGGGGGAGGGGAGAGGGGGGGAAATAAGAAGTTGTAGAGGAAAGCTGTGGGTATGGATGGAGAGACAGGGAGGAGAGAGCAGGAAGCATGCTTCATCTGAACTGTTGCCATTGTCACAGTTAATTGCCAAGAGTCATCCTCCCTGAAAAAGGTTTCTTACTGAAATAAATAATAACAGTTCAGCACATTCTGCAGGTCCACAGAGGCTGGAAGTTAACATGGTGTGCACAGTAAATCTTTTGAGCAAGAGATGCAGCAACAGCTTTGAGATGCACACTAGCCGGATCTTACCCCTGCATTCACTGCAGACTGCATCAGAAAGAAGCTAATAATCATTAAGCTGCCATCTTTTATTTCTAATTATTTGTCTCCACAGCAGGGTTCCTGCAACCATCAAGCACAAGGGAAGCAAGTCTCAAAGGAGTAACTGTTTTGAAGAGGGCTTGCAGCTGCCACTGCATGAATGGCTCTCCAAGAACAGTAGCAACTGCTACAAACTGCCGACAGAGCTAGGAGGAAAGCATCTCTGTTTAGCCTGTTTTTCAATGTTGGTTTTTAGGTCAACTAAAACAGCTTTTCTTATGCAACAAGAGATGCACAAAGCTCACTTGCTTTTGAGTTTTTGCTTTCATTTAATTAGATGGTAATTCAGAAGGCAGCACTGCTATTTTAAACACCACAATGAGAACTATTTCATCGCCTTACAAAGCGCTAAAGTGAAACCACTGAGCTAAGCCAGCCCTAGAACTTGACACCGCATCGGATTCTGATGGTCTCTTCTGAAAGGGTGGGACAAGCAAAAGAGATACCCTGCTACTACATTTCCAGGAGAGGTTCAAGGCAGAAAATCTCACTGAAAGGTGGAAAAGGAGACCTTATTTGTTCATCCTCTTTGAGCTGTACGTGAACAAGAATTAAGGGGAGACCCAAGTTCACAACACAACTGCTGTTCAACAGCTTCACGAAGCAATGCCCTTCTCTAGGTGACCCATGAATTAAGGGACAGAAAGAAACAGTTTACATACAGGTAAACTAAGATCAACTACGCCAACACGTGGCTCCCAGCATCACCGATGCCAAAGTATGGAAAGACACGGCCCAGCAGCAGCCTGTTAACGGACACACTGTGCTTACCAGCTCCTTTGCCACAAACATAGCTCCGATTATTTTTTCAGCCAGCACGCATGACCTCACCTCGGATTTCTTGACAGGCTTCAAATAATGGCAACATATGTGAATCTTAGCTGAAGGTCAAGAGCACAACCTCAAACGTCACAGGCTCCACTTGCATCTTCAGCATTTTTCTTCATGGTTTCTGCCCTCCAGCTTCTCACAGCACGTCCCTCTGTGGAAGCTGCTGGTGTGTTACTTTTAGGACTGATGCCCCAACCGTCTTATCAGGCCAGGAGAGGAGATTCACTTACTACAGCTCCTATGCATTTTATGTTTACCTAAGAGATAAGCCAGGCTTAAAGATGGAAAGGCAACCTGACCCTGCTGTTTTCTCTGATGGGTGAAGGTCAGGGCTGTCCCTGATCCAGTGAAACTATACCATACAACCTTTATCTTTGCCATCACTAACAAGGTACCACTTAGGTTTCTTGTTTGCTGACCAAGAATAATACCAACTATTCAGCAAGCAGCAAATTTCATCTCGTATCAGGGTCAAAACCCCAAAAGCCTATAATAAGCAGGACCATTGAAATGCAATTCTCTACCCTCTGTGCAGTACGTGAAAGACAACAGACCACTCATGCAAACAAAAGTCACAGTGAGACTGCTCTGGGGAGAGCAAACCAAGGGTTGTTTGGGGTACCAGCTTTCCCCAAGGAAGAAATTCACCCCTGACCAAAGACTTGTCACGCAGCAATAACCAGATGGGTGACTGTCCTGAAGGTCTGCTCAAGCACAAAGGACCAAGATCCTGCTGCTGCTCAGCTCGTCTGGGACATCCTGGCCAGCCTTGGACAGTTATAGCTGCTGCACACGCCTCTTGCTAACCCACTCCAACAGTCACGCGAGTAAGCACCTGCATTTTGCTCCAAATACGAGCTCCCAGCCAGCACGCTGCCAGCCTGCATTTCTCGCAGCTACACCTTCTGTGCGGAGGAGCTTTATTCTGCATTCAGATGACCGCTGGGTGTTTGGTGGGGATGCGAGCTCAGCACCTCTGATCAAGGCAGGTTCTCTAGGTAATTAATGATCCTTCTTTTAGAGATTTCGTAGCAAAGAACAGCTCATTCAGAACAGGAGACAGCTGCTCAGCTTCCAAATATAGTGCTTCACTTACTTCTGTGTAAGAACAACAGGTTTATGCTTGGATTTGATTCGTCTCTCCTGCCCTCCACTGTGAGGCATTGTATAATAATGCTGAGTTTAAGAATAAAGCAATCTGTTCCCAGAACCTTCTTCTGCTTTCCCTTCAAGTCTTTCATCAGTGACTGGCAGTACATTGAACGCACTCAAAATACACTCAGTCTTTTCCGTTACTGGGAGAGGAGAGGATATTACTGGGGAAGGGGGGGTGATGGACAGGAAAGGGGAAAGCTTAGCAGGAAGATACTTTAAATTTTTTTTTAAAAAAGTAAATTAAAAACTTCTGAAGTTTCTAGAGATAGCAACCTCAACACAAAAGCACCACTGCACCCAGAGAACCAGCTTTACCAAGCAGAGACCCCTTCCTTTCCTCCACCCTGAGCACACACCCCTTATTTTGAGAGTCCTTAATACACAAACAGCACCTTGCAGCCAGCCTCGGGGGCAGGCACCAAACCTCCGCTGGAAAACCACGAGAATCCACCCCACCAGGACAATTTTCCCCCTACGCAAAGCAGGATCTCTCAGAACGGAAGCTAGAAACATCGGTGCCTGCCACACTTCTCCAAGCTTGACACGCATTTCCCCTCCTCTCCTGCCAGAAGGGCCTCAGGCCTTTGTGCCCTGCAAAGCCCCGCACATCTGCAGGTTTGCAAAGGGGAAGCCAGACCAGCGCTGCACTCCAGCCTTCAGAGAGTCCCTTACACAACCACGGCACTGATTTACCATCAACAGCTGTCAGGGGGCATCTGGGGAGAAACAGGGAGTATTGCTTTCCACTACCAAAAACATTTTCACTTCCATTTGCTCACTTGCTGGCACTTGGTGTGCTTTTATCACCGGGTCAGCGCTCCGCAGCCCAGGCTGGCAGGAAAACTACGGCAGGGGGCTTTTTCATGTTATAAATTTGGCCTGGAAATTGCTATATTAAGCGCTTTTCAATATCCAAAATAGTCACACACAGAGGATAAATCCTCCTGTTTGATAACAATCAATGCTCCAGAGTGTAAGACACAATAAACAGGTCAGTTCATTATTTAAGTCCAAGTGATTCGTTTCGGCTACTTCCTCTCGCTGATCTAATGAAGCAGTTACTTACCCAGAGATGAGACAGCCGGGCAAACCACGCAGGCAAGGCACCAAAATCCATCACGGGGCAGTGTATAGAAGAGAAAGGAAAAGAGACACTGGTTAATAGACAGTTCTAGCTAAACATGAAAAAACCCATGCACCTGCCAGAAAAATCTCTTGAGCCACAAAGCCAAATCCTCACACTTGTATTTTACATGAGCACTGCAAGCAGAGTTCAAGTAAGCAAACTTTGGTGTCTGACTCTTCCCAGAACTGAAGGTGGAACTGGACATTCACGTTGAGCCACTTCTTAGAAATGTAAACATCAAGTGGGGAAGGAAAAAAAAATAAAAAAACCGAAAACATTAGCCCAACATTACTTAACGCTGATAATACAGCAAGTGGTGACGCAGGCGTCCCGTGCCTGCCAAGCTCCAGCGAGTACGGCCTCCAGAGCCCCGACCGGTGCCCAGGGCAGCACGGCACGGGTCGGGCACTGCTGAGCCCTGGGCAGAGCTGGGCTGGAGAAGCAGCAAGCGCGGTGTGGAGGCTGCAGACTGGCCCCGTCCGATTCTGTGTCCGTCCGGCTCCTCCAGCCTTACATAACTTCTTGTGCAAACTTCTGCAAGGGATGGACACAGCCCAGCGCCTCGGGCCCCAATCCACAGGGCTCCAACTGAGCCCTCTAGTGGGCTTTAAAAACTCAACAAAACACCCACAGATTTAATTTAATTAACACTCTGCCAGAGGCCTCTAAACCCTAATCCTCTCAACAAAAGGATCATTAACTAAATGAAGAGATTCAAGAGAGCAATGGTGCTCTCAGCCGCAGCAAGGCCGGCTCCGTGCTCCGGCAGGCACACGCCAGGGCCCAAGCAGAGTGCCGAAATCCAGCCAGATCCTCGGTCCACCGAGGGTCCAGGGACCCGCTCAACAGACAAGTGCTCATAGCATGCAGGAAAAGTCTAGCACGGTGCCACGCTGCACCAGGCACAGGACTATGCACCTCCTCTACAGCCATCCTGCCGCACCGGAGCGACAGGCACAAGCCTGCACCCATCCTTTGGGATGCACCGCGATGCTGACAATCTCCATTGAGACTGAAACCCCGAACTGCTGAACCAGGAGAGGATTTAGCTGGAGCGCTGGTTGTTTTTAAGTGTTATTATCCACTGATGTCAAGAGCCTGGCAAGCAGGTGAGAGCTCTCGTTTCAAGAGGCAGCCTCGGTCCTTCAACCGAAGGCTGGGAAAACATCTCCATCTCGCCCAGCCCTGCTAGCATAAACAGCAGGAGGGTTTTTCCTCACTTGAGCAAGTGGGGTGTACATTGGCAGACGAATTTACCACATGCAGGTTGCAGTCCAGTAAGATGCAGTTAGGAAAAAATCTTTACAGTCAAAGGTTCCCAGTCCACGAGCTTCAGCCCAGTGAGACAGGGATGGAGATTTGGGGTTGCCCTTTGCAGGTGGCTCTCTTGGAAAGCCACCTCCACTTTCTGAGCCACGCAGAGGATCCAGAGCAGCTCCAAGGAGCACACCCACAAGAGTACTCATTAGTATGGTGAACAGGAGCAGAAGAGATCTTAATTATAGGGCAGGGATCATTCCCTCTGGGTTCGGATGTCAGCAGCAGCCTCGCCGGGGCCGTGCTGCCCCACGGGACAGGCGTTCCTCGACAGAGCCCACAGCAAGTGCTGCCTTTGCCTGTGCCATGTGCAGAGCCTGCGGTCAGCAGAATCCTGGTTGGGGCTCTGCGATGAGCTGCAGAGCCTCAGGCTCGCAAATGTGAGAATCCAAACCAAGGAAGACTTCAGGTGTTGCTTGCAAAAAAGCTTCTCTCCTTCAGCAGCAGCCTGCACAGGTCTCTCTGGAAATGCTACTGCAGCCCACCGATAGGTACTGGTCCCCTGACTTTGGTGCTGTGTGCGAGCACCCCAGTCTCATCAGCAGCTTCTGAAACTCAAATCCAAGCTCCAGCCGTGGCGTTCACCAGGGCAGAGACTGCAGTAGCTGCTGGCAGCGCAGGCTCATACCGGCGCGGGCGGCCCTAACCCGGGGCAGGGCTTTAGGGTGGCCAGGAGATGCTTTAGGACACTACCTCTCCCCGGACAAACGCAGCCTTCCTTAGAGGGACCTCAGCCCTCCAAGATGCCAGCCAAGCCCATTACAGACCCTCTATGTTTGGGTTTGTATGCTGGAAAGCATTCAGAAAGGTCTCCATTTTCTTTTGCCCTGCCCCCTCCCTGCAGGTTTTCAGGACGTGCCTCCAGGATAGAGCTGACGCGTTGTTCAGGCCTCCTTGCCTGAGGATGCGGGAACAACTGTTCCCAGAGCTAATGAGGCTGTCCTGCTTTGACCCGGGGCAGTTTTCAGCAGACACAGAATAAACAGTCCTCTCCATGTTCACCTCCTGGAATAAATCCCAAGAGCTCCCATCTCCCCAGCCCAGGCAAGAACACAGATGGTCGTGGAGATTAAAACATACAGAGAATTAACCGCCCCGTGCAAATGAGCTTCTTCATCCAGCCCAGCGCTGCAAGGTGGTTTGAGGTACAGCACTTGGATGTGATCATCATGGTTTGCTGAGCTCCGATAACAGCCTCGTATCGACCAGAACAAGGAGCCAGAAAGCTGAGAAATTTGAAGGCAGTTTGTAGAGGAGGCAAGATACAAACTGCCAGAGCCAGGCAGCTGCCGTAACCACAGTTGCCTCCTGCTACAGCAGTAGAAGAAAAAAACAGCGGCACCAGGAAAAAGCCTGGCCAGCAGCGCAGATCAATTCTGTGCTCAGCTATCTTGTGTATTCCCACCGAAAGGCAGCTTAGATGGATCAAGCAGCACTGCAACCCCGACGTGAGCCATCTGCAACTCCGGACGCTGCCCCAACACCTCCAACCGCTGCTCGCAAGGCACCGGGCACCCACGGGCTGGCAGAGGGCAGCGAGGGAAACCCACACCGGCCCCCGCTGCCTTTCCTAGAAGGCTGAAGTCTTGGCACGCAGCTGAGGCACAGGATCTGTCAGCACAGCACACTGGGAAGGATCTGACCGTCACACAGGGCCAAGAGACCTTCCCAAGGAAGGCAGGGCTTTCTCCAGGCTGCCTCCCAGGGAGAAACTGCACCCCAAACCCATGAGCGTGTTAGCATCACCAGTGATAGGTTTAAACCTTATTTCATTTTTACTCAAAACCAGGGAAAAATTTCTGAAAGGAGTGGACTTCTTGCTCAGCCACATCCCAGCTGCCAGTTGGTATTTCTAAGGAACAGGTTTCAAGCTATGCAATGATACAGATGACTGCGTTTGCTATTAAAAGCCTCCAGTTTGCATCCAAGGAAATCCCCAAGCAGCACTGACCCCATCTGCCAGCCCGCGGCAAGGCTCCTCACAGCCGCAGATTGGCCAAGGCCAATCCCAACCATACGGGAGAGGTTCACCTCCACGTCAAACGCAGGCACCTCCAGTACAACATCAACACAGAGAAAGTCACGTTACAGCCCAACATGGCTCAGGGCCGGGCCAGCATCTGCCCTCCATTGCTCCCATGCTCAGCATTTGAGTTCACGCAGATGCAGGGAGGTGACTCGGTGCTGTTCTGTCTGATATGGACCCTCAATGCAGAGAAAGAGCTCCCCTCAAGTTTTGAAGTGCCCACAAACAGCTTACCCCATCTCCAAGGGTTTTTGGAAAGCAGATATAGAAATACAAGCCCTTAAAGGGCTAAACCACCACTGCAATTGGGGGAGAGCTACCAAGCAGGGATCATCTCACTGAGGTCACATATAGCATGGTAAATGCTGTAATGCATCAGCTGCGTTAATGCCCTGGCTACGATGATGCTTCAAGGCATCGGTCCACCCCAGCTCCAACCCATGCCAAGCAGAGCTCAGCACCAACACCAGGTTCTCCAGGCTGTAAACAAGTCCGGAGTTTCCCCCCGGCTCCCACCCCATCGCTGCGATGCACTGGCTCGTTTGCAACACCTACAAGATTGCTTTAACGCTGCTGCAGTCAGAGCTTGGTCACTCCGAAGACTCCCAGCACACGTCAAGCCTCACACCCCCTTGCTGAAATCCAGCTCAGGTCAACCGTGGCCAGATGTAATTACCTACATGAAAGGAGCTAGAAGCTGCCTCTAATAAGAGGATGTATTTGTGCCATCAGGCCAGAGTTCCTCCTCCTCTTTTGCCGCTTACCAGGGTGCCAAAAGTTGCCTCACATTAAGTGGACCAGCAAGAACTTAACCTCATTCCTTGCTACAAAACCTGGCTTTCCCAGGAACGGCAGGAAAGGGCAGGTTTCTTAGTCATTTATTTACGAACAAGAGCGGAGAACATTTTAACAGGATTCGTTCATTTAATTGAATAGCGCATGGGACATCAGTGGCTTTATTTGTGTTGGCAAAAGGCTTTGGGATGAGCAAATGGAGGAGCAAGGGCAGGGCCTACACCCCAAAACACTTCCCGGGGCCAGGCAACACGCTGCCGTTGAGCCCGCAGCCATCCGCAGGCCGGTGTGGGGCTGGGGTGGTTCCCGACAGCCTCAGCATCCTCCCGGGTGCGTTTTCCCAGCTGCCTCCAAATCACCAAGCTGCAGGAAGCAGCAGCAGACGGCTCTAGCTAAGAGGCACAGCAAAATAACATGACCCGAGTTCCCTTCCAGCCTCTCCTCCTAAAATGTGCGAGCGTGAGGCAGCTTTAGAGCCCTCCCAGAGCAGCAGGGTCCAACTCACATGAGGCTCAGACAACACAAAGCCATTTTGACCCAGCGTTTTGTGCCCCTGAGCAGACACTCGGGCCGGGAGCCCAGATGGTGCCTGTGTGTGCACTGCCCACGGCACCCCGTGCCTGCATGTCTGATATTTCAGGATTTTCTCGGGGGGCATCAGGAGGGGACTAGAGACAAACCATGCTAATTGGATAGACGAAGAGTCCTCTGCAGCCCTATAAAGCTGCAAGCAGCTGCTCAAAACCCCTTGTGAACCACAAAAATAGTTTCATCTAAGGAGCAGGCGTGGATTAAACGCCACAAACACCCTTTTCTTTTCTGTGTGCAAAGTGCATTTTTCCCCACTGCGGTCCCAAAACAAAAACCAGACCCGCAGATCAAACCAGGAAATTCA